CAGCTTCTCCAGATGGCAAATGATGCTGAAATGAAAAGACTTCCAGGCAAAGATAAACTCTGGGACACTGTAAGGAGAATATCATCAAATGATGACACTGAGAGAGTGGCTATAAAAACCTTCTATTCAGCAGTGATTCGAAAAATCATCCAGATGAACAGGGCTTCAAAGATGCTTACAGGTGTCGTGCCTCAGCAGTCTCAGCAGAGGGATTCTACAGGGTAGGGAAGAGTTTATCTTGAAGAGATTCGTGGGTATGCTTTTGTTCAATGGAGTGAACCCCAATTAGATTTATAGGAGACTCACAACGTTTTAAAAAAGAATTATATTGGCATAAACACTCCCGGCGTGGACACACAGAAACAGTACAAAATGAAAAGTGGCTTTTGGACCCCCTTAATTCTACTGGCAGGAACCAAACTGACAAAACTACATAGCTGCAAATATGGACTACCTTTAATGGAAAAGGATGGATGATCAGAGAGTGAAATAAAGAGCCCCAAGGGTGAATTCAAGAGTCATGGAGAGTTATCCCTGGGCAAGAGTAGAGTTGAGCCCTAATCAAGGAACTTTTAACATGTGCAAAACTGGATTTAAGGATTCTGTGGCCCAGGGAGTCCTCAGAGCCTCCTGTCTTTTCTTCCTTTTTCACAGGGGTGTTTGTACCAGCTATTCCAAGCCTGTCCCACTGTTGCATGTCGGGAGTGTGGGAGACACAGATATTCCGATGAAGAGGAACTACACTTGAGCAGCTGCACTTAAAACACTACACCTAAGAGCCTTATCCACACCTGGACCCAATTTAGATTCTGGACTTGGAGCTGATGATATGATGAGTTGAGACTTTTGGGAAACTTGGGAAGAAGTGAGTGTATTTTGCGTTTGGGAGATATGTGAATCATTAGAGAGACCAAAGGATAGACTGTGGTAGCCAGATTCCAAGATGGCCCCAAATATCCCTACCTCTTAGAATTCATGCCCTTTTGTAGTCCGCCCCTCCCACCCCCTGCAAATGGGCTAATCTCTGTAACCAATAGGCTTTGTCAGAAATGATGGTGTGCAGCTTTTGAGTTTAGATCATAAAAGTGATAACCAAAAGTATTGGCTCTGACCACATCAGCTAAACTATAGTGCCTTGGGAGATCTGGAATAAATCAGTAATCACATTCATCTGTCCTGGAACATATTATAAGACCATTATACTTAGAAGCAGCCATAATGGCACCAGAAAGCCATAAAAATAACCTGGAATACTTCTTATTACCCCTACTCTAGAACCCTGAATATAGGATGTTACCTAGTAACCATCCCAAATCTATACGTCATGTACTACCAATAGAAATCCTGATAAAGCAATTAGGCAGGGCTATCTTTTTTCTTTTGACCATTCCCCCTTGTGATTTTAAAATGTTCAGCTCTGCTGGCCCTCTTTGGAACACATTTTCAGGACAACTTGAACTATGTGTCTCCCCAGTTGCAATCATCATATTGGCTCAATAAATCCTTGCTATATGTATTTGGTCTCAGTTTCTTTTTAGGTCAACAAAATACATTACATCGTTCACCTTGCCCTCTCTTGGATCACTTGCTTTGGGAGAATTCAACTGCCATGTCACAAGGACATTTAAGCGGCTTAAAGAAAGTGCGGAAGCTTTCCACCAACAGCCATGTGAGTGAGCCATCTTGGAAGCGAATCCTACATTTGTAGGTAAGCCTTCAAGTGACTATAGCACAGCCAACATCTTTACTGAAATCTCTTGAAAGACCCTAAGCCACAATCACCCGACTAAGCCACTCCCAGATTCCTGGCTCACAGAAACAGTGTGAGATAATGTTTATTGTTTTAAGATGCTACATTTTGGCTTAATTTTCTATGCAGTAATATATTAATATAACAAGGGTGCTATCTCTGGATGCTCCCAAAGATTCCAATTCCTGGAGAATCAGATGGTTCTGATTTCTGAGCTGAGTACAGAAGATCTTCACTGAGTCTGCCCCAACTTGTTACCAGAACTTTGTGACGTCCCTTTTTAATAGTTTCATTAGCTTCTGCCTCTAAGACCCCTCACGAAGGACTCAAAGAGGATTGTAAAGTGTCAGAGACTGAACTGACAGTATTACATTTTAACTCTGTCAGGTAAAATTAAGAAGAAACAGCAATAATGACAACAAGAAGACGTCCGTTCCCCCGCACCAAAAACTCCGGAAGCAAAAATGTCCTTTTAAGACATTAAAAAATTATTTTCATTGAAAAAAGATTTTCTGATAATCATGTTTGTAAAGGCTAAACTGTTTCCTTTTAAGCCTGGGGGTAGGGGTTGGAAATAACCAAGTAACGAATACTACTCATTAGGTATACCAATGTGGATGTTTGAGTTGAGATTTGTTGATTCCCCCCCCCCTAGAATGGTGCATCCATCCCTGTTTTGAATGCAGACATAGAAATAATTTCCAGAAAAATGAACTGCAGGAAAACAGAAATGTGTATGGAATCAGAACAAAACAAACCTTATTTTTTTCAACATTCTATAGAATTGTTCTGAGGGTAAAAAACCAAAAGGTTTCTAAAAAATAAATATCTAACAAAAGCCGCACAGAGATTAAGCATACATTATCCATGGAAACATTAAAAATTATTTAAAATGTTTTTTACCCCACCTCGCCCCCTGGTATTTTTGTGGAGATCATCTGGAAATTCTAGCTCAAAATTATCTAAGGGAATCAATGGAAAACAAACACCATTCCATCCCCCTCATTCTTCTTAACCACACCTCAGCCTCTCCCATGACCAAATCAACGTGTCCCTTTTCCTCTCCCAAATACAAAACAAAAGCTCTTCTGTGAATGGAGAGATACAGATATGGGGCAGAGGTGGGGGGCTGCCTACACTACCAGGAGCCAGCCAAAAATGCCCTATGTGTTTTAAATATGTTTCAAAATCTCCTTCAGAGTCATTGTGAGCATTAAATATAATTTGTGCTAAAAATAATAATTAAGGCTTAGTGAATACAGTGCAGGCACCTTTACATTGAAGCCACAAAACAACCCCATGAGATGAGTACTGCCATTATTTCCATTTTATTTTTTTTTTAAAAGTGGAAAACAATGCTAAGTTAACTTATCCAAAACTGATTAGTGGCACCAGGATTTGGGAGCCCTCAGGCAGTAGAGCTTCCAAAACCGGCTTTTAAAGAGCCACAGAAAGATCTCTCCCGGTTCTTGCCACTTTAGCGGTGCTTAATAAATAACAGTCCTTGAAACCCAATCTGAATCTAGAGGGACTTCTTACCTAAAGGAAAATGACTGCAACCTGGAACTCTCACCGGACAAATACTGTCTCGCCCCATCTCACTTCACCTTCCATCTCAGACTAACCCAAGGCAGGCTCTCAGAAAAAGGCACAGGGGTCAGCGGCCCAGCCGAACATCCAGGAGGAAGGAATGCAAATAGACTTTGCAAACAGGCAAAGCACAGTATTGCTTTGGATCGAAAACGTTTGCTGAGCCTGACTCAGATTCCCTGAGCCTAGGAGAACAAACACAGCCCTTCTGGGGCCCTCTGAAAATCCCAAGAGGTCAGGTTCAGTCTGGTAAACAGTACCGGGTCCTGGCACCTTGCACAGCACGGGGTACTGTGACGGGAGGCGACAAGTTGGTACGAGAGCGACTTAAATACACAGGAACGCCAGCCTAGTGGCCTTGAAAAGTCAGGTTGACACCATCAGGGAGTGAGCGGGGGAGGCGGAACCCAATTCCCGCCTCGGAAGTGAACAGAAGACTTCATTCATCCTCCTCCTCCTTCCGGAGATGCTGAGATTCCGAGCGGCCGGGCTGAGCCCCGCGGGAAAAGCAAAAAAGGGTCATTACCACTTTAAATGACTCAGGAAGTGAAAGGAGGCCGCCTGACAGGGAAAGGGAAAGTGGAACCGGGGCGTCGCGGGAGCCGGCGGCGGCGGCGATCTCGCCGCGGTAGCCCGGAGGCCGAGCGGGCGGTGCGGCGCGGGGGCCGACGG